CCTCAATTTTAGCAGTGAATCTGCAGCTAATCTTGCTGCTTGTGTGCCAGGGATATCTGCTGCTTCTCGGAGTGGCAGTGGTAAGTGAGTACACAGTTTCAAGTACTGTGATACTTGAATCAAGTTACATTACACATTACTGGTGTACTGAGCCCTTTTTCTGGTATAACTTGCTTTTCTGCTTTAATCAAATTTGTAGCTTGCCTTGAGTAGCTGGGAGTTCTTGGAGTTTTCCAGAGGGGTGTGCCCTAGATCCCTAGGTGTGTGGCTGTCCACATCCTGCTGGTATCAGTTGCATGACCCTGATTTCAGCTGGACCCTGGCGTGATCTCACAAAGCAGCGACATTTCTAGGTCCTGTTTCTGAACAGCAGTGAGAACTAGATGCATGACCAGCTAACATGAGTCTATTTTCAGAGGCCTTGCCTTATTTATTCTCCACAGAAACTCTTTGGCAGAGATGCAGAATCGCCACGGAGCCAGAGTGCCGGATCGGGAACACTCGCCTCGCCTTGTCCAAAGAGGTACTGTGAGCACCTTCTCCAGTTCATGGGGCCAAGCCCTGCTGTGTTCAGGTTAAACCAGCTTGGCTTGGCTGCAGGCAGCTTCCCTGTGGCTATCCTGGAAACTGGGTAGCTGGAGAGAGCAAAATCAGGTGGTATAACAGGTAATCATTTATCTTCTCTGCTTGCAGGAACTGGTAGTCAAGACTGGCCAGAGCAGCGGAATATCTCAATATATTCATGTCCCAAATGTGAAGAAATTTTACCTGATTTGGATACACTGCAGATTCACGTTATGGACTGCATTAATTGAGTGATGCCCTCCATTTCTTCGTCTTCTGGAATTTCACCTGCCAAACACTTTGGGGTTTTTTTTCCTTCTTGCTCAAATAATGTTAAATTCTATATCCTATGAAGGAAGTTTTCAGGGTTTTCTCATTAATTCAGTGGGAAAACAGTAAAACTCTTCCCCTGCCCTGTAGTCACTAATCTTGTTGTAATCTGCTTTAGGGAAAGAATTTTCATAGGTTAACAACATGGATGTGCTACAGAACCCACAGTGTGCCTGCTGCTGTGAAACCTTTCAGGAACATTCCCCTGAAGTGCTCTGCCCTGTGGCTGCCCTGCAGAATGGGGCTGACTCACTGAATTCAGAAGAGAGGTGGGATATTTGCTGATCAACTCTTAAGAACAGTGAGCCTGTTCATCTCTCATATATTATATACCAGGAAAGTAATACATGAAAAAGCTGTTTGAGAAGCTTTCAGCAAAATGGAGTAGAGCTGTATTCATCGAGCATTTGAAGTGAACCCTGCTCTTTCTCCAGATGGCAGTTTTATTGCTGCCCTTGTGACCATACTAATCTGATGTTAAATTTTTGATGGCTTATGTAACTTGTTGCTTTAGCCAGATGTGGGTAAGGTTTAAAACAGATCATTTAGGTCTGAAACATGTAGCTCCCGATGTACTCAAGTCACTTGGTTTTATAGAACTCTTAATTTTTAAGGTGTTGTCTTGACTTTTGTTTATTATAATAAAATAATTTGAACCTGTACAGTATTGTGGTAGAAAGCGCTGAGATGGATGTATCCTAATTTAAAAAATTATAATGGATTTTCACATCCTGAAATAAATCTATAACAGTTATAAAATTATCTATGTTTGTGGATACTTTGGAGGCTGAAACAGGACTGCAAATGCAGGATTGCAAAAAATTTTCATCTTTTTCCTTCACTGTTCAAAACTGAATTTCAGGAAGCAAATATGCCTGGACTCATTACAACCCAGTAGTTAAATCTGTGCCATCTTGTTCTGTGATAGGTCTGTTGGGGTCACCGAGAGGCAACAGTCCACTTCCTTCTGAGTGCCAAAATCATGAGCTGGGTGTTCAGAAGGAGCAGGGTAGGATGGACACACAACCTGAACATGAAACCTCAACATTTTAATGTCATTTTATTACTTAACAGGAGTTTTAGTCTGAAAATCTGGTGTTTCTGTTTTCCACGTGCACCAGAAATTGCCACTGCTGTGCTGCAAAGGGACCTCTGGAGGTCACCTAGTCAGACCTCCCTGCTCAAGCAGAGTCAACCTAGAGCAGGGTGCTCAGGATTGTGTCCAGGTGGCTTTTGAATATCTCCAGGGAAGGAGATTCCACAATCTCTGGGTAAGCACTTCCAGTGTTCAGAATTTGTGTGTGACAAATTCTCCTGTCAACCCACTTCCATAAATGTCAACCCACTTCTTCAAATGGTGCTGTGGATGAAGATCTGAATCACAGAGGAGAAAACAAGCTGAACAAATCTATAGTGGAATTAGAAATAAAAAGTTTGGTGAGTTAATATTTTAGTCATTATTTTGCTTCAAACCTGAAATAGAAACTACTCTAGAGCTGATTAATTCAAAACAAAGGCCTCAATAGTGTAAAATTTATGTTTTGCTCTCAACAGGTGAATATTATTAAAATATACACAACAAAAATACCTGTTTCTTGAGCCCAAGAAAACCTTCTTTCAGCGTATTTTTCATGTCATGCTGTCAGTGAATTCTCAGCTACCAATACCTGGAGAAACAATCCCTTTTTTACCATTGTAATTAAAGTGATTTTTTTTTTTTATTTTACTCGTTGTCACTGTTGTTCTAATTATCTCTTGTAGACTCTGGATTCTTATTTTCTCTTACAGCTCATATATAGCTTCATCCATAATTTCCGGTAAAGCAAGAGCTGACTAAAATCTTTTGTGAAGAGATATTCATCAGCCTCCTTGCAATCTTCTTCATCAATTACAAGCACTCCCAGCAGATGCAATATTTTATTGGCTTTTAATTGGTTTCTTGTGACAGTAGGATTTATGGGCTTTTTTACCCTGACTCCAATTTTATTATGGGAGCTTTGTGACAGTTACGGATTCTGCAGTGATCAAAACCTGATGGAAATGCTACTGGGCCAAAAGCAAACTAATAGAATGATAATAGAGCTGATTTAATCTGAGGAGCATTCACCTTAATGAAAACACAGAAAATCCACGTGAAAGGCCAAAGGAGGAATTACTTATGCATTCATTGAGTCAAAATTAATAATTTTAAGAGGTTTCAGGAAGAGAGGGGACCTTATCATGGGAATGCTAACAGGAAAACATGGGCATTAGCTGAAGTAGGTCTTCATAGGAAGATAATATAGTGGGTCTAACAGTACAAATCAGAAGGGACATGGAACTCCAAAGAATAAAATCACAATACACTGAGACCTGTTCATACAACAGGGAAGATTATTTTCCTGTTGTCATCATTAACTGCAGTCCAGAGGGCAGATGAGCTGCCGTGACAAGGGACGATGGCCAGCAGATGCTCATTAGCACAGGTTTGAGAGTCCATCCCCTTTGTTTTCCCTTGTATGAAAGGTATCATTTACTTGTGTTTTAAGGTGACTGAACACTACAAACAGTCAGAATCATGAGGTTTGCATGGTCCCACCTCTCAAGCCTGTCCAGTTCTCTCTGGATGGCATCTCATCCCTCCAGCATGTCATCTGCACCACACAGCTTGGTGTCATCAGCAAACCTGCTGAGGGCTCATGAAATACTTCTTGTCCATGAAATACTTCTGTTTAACAAAGGACATTCTTAGTGTAGCAGCATGTCCCACAATCAGTACCCTGACTTGATGTGGAACAGGAGCCAGAAGCATTTATTTCCATTTCAGATTTAAAATCCAGTCTAGGAAGGGGCCAGAACAGTTCTGTGGGGTGGAACTGAGATTTTCGAGCCACAAGGTATCTCTGGATTGGCAAACCAAGTCACAGGGGCAGACAAGCTCATTACTTCATCACTCCTGTTAGATGGAGAGTGGAGGGACTTTGTGTAACTCTGTGATTAGCCTGGGCCACACTTGCAGTTAGAAGCCAGAGGAAGGGAAAATAGGAATCACAGCATCCTGATGTCTGCCCACAGATTCACACTCGTGCCAAGATGGGCCACCAGGTGTTTCCTTGTTTCCATCATGGATAAGCAGCAGTACAGGGGAGCCCCCCTGGCATTGCTGATTGCTCCGGCTCCCCTGAACACCTCTGCATGAGCATCAGAGCAGGGTGCATTGAGACTGAGTCAGCCCCAGCATGCCTGGGATAGGAATGTGATGTTTGATAGAAAATCAGAAACCAAGAAAGTCTAATGTGGCACATGCCAGATGGCTTGGATGACAACTATTCAGCAGAGCATCTCAGCTGCTCAGTGGAACATCTCTCCCTGAGTTTTTTCTGTGTTGTCTGCTGGAACTTCTTGATTCCTTCAGCTACTACAGAGTTTCTGTCCTTAATTCATCTTTCCTAACCCAGTACAGGTACTGCTGGCCTTTGAATGCCAATTACATGCTCTCTTTGGACATCATCCTGCAGAGTGGATTTAGTGCAAGATCCTCAGGATCTGAGCTCAAATCCATATTGTTTGGAAGCAATTTTGGGGTGATGCCATAGAATCGTTAGGGTAGGAAAAGTCCTCCAAGGTCATTGAATTCAATCTTTGACTCAGCATCACCTTGTCAACTAAACCGTAATTGCCACACAGGTTTCTTGAATGCTTCCAGGGATGGTGACTCCACCACTTCCCCGGGCAGACCATTCCAATGTTTGACCACCCTTTCAGTGAAGAAATTCATCCCAAATTGAAGAAATCCTTCCTGGATTGAAGATATTGCTCCTGAATTCTTTCTAAGTGATGCACGGAGTGAGGGACTAGAGCAATGGGCTTGTACATACTCCAAAATATTATTTTTTTACAGAACTGTACCCAAGAAACAGCGAACCAGACCACAAAATCCTGCCCACTGCACGTGACAATAACCGGGACTGAATTTGCTGCTTTAACACAAGGGCTGACACTATTCAGGTTATCCAGGTGAGGATGGCGACCGCTGTGACCCTTCCCTGAGGCCGCTCCGCCCAAACACGGGCAGCTCTTTGCGGCTGAGCGGGCTCGCCCAGAGCCAAGGGCACTGCGTGACGACGACGTCAATCGCGATATGACATCACGCCGTGACGTCACGCAACTCAACCTCACCTTGGGGCATCCTCGCCCGCCCACAACCAAGATGGCGCCGGGCGGCGCCGCCTCTGCCAGTACCGGGGATGGCGCCGGCGCGCATGCGCGGGGGGGAGGAGGAGGGCGTGGCCATGTTGGAATTTTGGCGGGTGCCGGGGAGCGCGCGCGGCGGTGAGTGGGGATGTGTGAGGG